AAGAATAATTCTATTCATAAAAAAATAAATACTAAAATAATATATTGCACAAGATTATATCTTTATATACACACATACACACATATATACATACCTACATACATGAACACATACAAACATATACAATTTATATACACATACACACATAAACATACATACATATACACAAACATATGTATATACACATACATAAACATAAATACACACATTCATACATATATACGAATAAACAAGATCGTACAAAAGAAAAAAAAAGCTGACATTAATCACCCAAAAATTCTCGAGCCAATTCGCCTTCCCTGAAATAACAACAACAAACTATTTAATCAATGGACGAATTAATCCAAAAGACGCGATTTGATACCCACCCAGGAAACGTCTCGTCGGCGACCACCTACGCAGCATGCAGGCTTTGGCGGGAAAACGTGAAGATTCAAATGGCTCGGAACTGCAGGTGGGTATTGTTCTTGTTATTTGCGTTAGTTATAATTGCTGACTAATGTTTCAGTATGTTAAGTGTGTATTATTAATGTGTATTGATTATGTATATTATGTATTATGTATTAAGTATGCATTGTGTCTAAAATGTGTTAATGGAATTCATATTCCTTGTGGCACATGTGATTGGAGAGTTAATATTGTTAAGATATATTTTATTACAGGTGTAGTCTATTGTTTTTTTTTTGTTTTCGTTTTTTGTGATACTCTTTGCTAACTTAAGGAATGGTGAGTTGTATTATTGGACAAAAATAGTTTAGGCTGTTTCCATCGACTTTTCTTTTGCTTGTCTATTCTGTTTTCGCTATGTCGACATTTTTCTTTATTTGTCTACGTTTCACTTCAGTATTTCAGATCATATCTTCAATCTTTACTTATTTATCTATATCTTACTTCAATGTATTTTTTCTCTCTCTATCTGTTTATCTATGTATCCATTTATCATCTGTCTCTCTTTATCTATCTTTTTTCATCTACCTATATTTATCTCTACTTATCTATTAAATATTTCTTCCACTGATAAACAAATAACAAATCTACGTTATGTATAAGTTAAGCTAATGGACAATTTTATCATTTTGTTTATATTCAGAAGCCGATTATGGTAAGTATGATTTGATGTTTATTTTCCCGTATTTTCACGATTGAGGTGTTTCTGTCCCCTTTTTCCCTTTCCCTTTTTTTTCTTTTCTTTTCTTTTATTTATTTATTTATTTATTTTAAACCTGATGCCATTAATAAAAAAAACTCTGCATTCATGGTCGCTTCCTGATATTATTATATTTAACCGAATATCAGATGAAATAAATGGAAAAACGTCTGGCTTTCATTATCTCTTACCTTCAGGTTTACAAGCGGACTTAAGAAAACATTTTCTAAGCCAACTCCTACCAGTGACATGGGTTAGGAACTCTTGCTCAAGAGGCCAGTACCTGTTTAGATCACAGATGTCACACTGTAAGATCCACAAAATAAAGAAAAAAAAAAGAAAAAATCGTACTGATATGCTAATAATCAGTCCTTTAGACGTCTTTGCAGGGACATCAGTACTATTTAATATAGACGTTGATGTAAAACATATCGCATACATTCTAGATCTCGCCACGGTCTAACTTACAGGATGATACCATTGCATTGCATTGCATTGCATATCAGTATCAAATATTCCCTACCTCCGTAAGATCGGTAATAAAACATGCAAGAACATCTTCCAACTATGCCATTTTCTTCAAGTATTTCAATTAATTCAAGACAAAACAAAATGTCATGGCAAATCAATGTCATTATGCCGAGTTTTGCTTATCAAAACCCATTCTGACTCATAATAAAAACATTATTTTTAGCGCCAATGACAAATCTCTAGAGATATATCCTTCTCTTCCTCCTTAAGAGCAAAAATAAAATCCTTTCCCGTCAAAACATCCATTGATATTTATTATTTGTAAAATGGATACACGTTTTCCTCTCCCCACTACTATCATTTTTTTAACTTAACAGCAAGGAAATGATAAGAATATTTCATTTTACTTGACTTTTCATATTCATATCACTTACGTTTATTGATGGCTCGGTGTATGAGAAATATAAAAGTTAACCTTCACATTAAACACAGAAAATGCTTAATATGATGAATAATTAAGGATATTTAACGTAAAACTATCGTAATTTGAAAAAATGAGCTTTAAAAAGTATCTGTGAAGGAATAAGCTGAAAAAAACGACCCTTATAAAGGAAAGGCAAAGAAACATGTTTTTTTTCCAAAATGAGGTGTATTTTGTTTTTCAAATCCCGACCCAACGAGATCCATCTAATTTCCTTAATTTTCCTTCATTCAAGATAACTCTAAACATTTTCCTTGAAATGCGATGATGAACTATGGTATTCTTAAAGTTTTTAACCTACGATTATTTATACATTACGCTTTGTAGATGAATAAAGGGATTAATAATGGTCTTCATAAGACTGAAAAAATACTAACTTAAGAAGCGGTCATGGTATCGAACAATCCGACAGTTTTGCCGTAAAATAAAGAAATTAATAAATAAAACCAACACAATAAGAAAAAGCCATAAAAGATATATAAAAAATTGTGTGTTTTTATTAGTTGTCAGATATACATTAATGTAAGTTTTATCCTTACTTTTCTCCTCAACATTTTTGTACACCATTTTTTTTTCCATTTTTTGTGTGTATCACTTAAAATCTCGACTGCACTGCGGCTACAGATCGTATATCATTAAAAAAATATATGCAGTTCAGTAGGAGAATGTTTTTTTCTTCTATTTTTCATCTCCCTCTTTCTCTTTCACAAATTGAACACCGTGTATGAGAGATGAGACACTACATTTTTTACATACTTCATTCCACAGCTGGGTCTGTTTTCTGACCAGCGTCGAAGTTTGTCACTTTTTTATATTTATATTTTCTCCCACAAGTTAAATCGATTTTAATATGGCTATGGAATGTTAATAACATTTTTTTAACTTTCAAACTCATTATTTTTCGTTTTACTTATGAACAAATTACTGTATACTAACATTACATTTGTCACTAAGAGTTATGAATCTGAGTGTAAGTACTTTTTTTGTCTCTCTATCTATCTATCTACCTCTCTCTGTCTTTCTCTCTCTCTCTCTCTCTCTCTCTCTCTCTCTCTCTCTCTCTCTCTCTCTTTCTCTGTATATATACATATATATATATATATATATATATATATATATATATATATATATATATGTGTGTGTGTGTGTGTGTGTGTGTGTGTGTGTGTGTGTGTGTGTGTCTTTCTCTCTGTGAGTGTGTGTGTGAAACCTACAGAACCGACTCAAAATCCCTCCTATCCTTGATCATCCTCCAAAACAAAAACACTCCATTATTCCTTTACCCTGGACAACGAGGACCCCCCCCCCCCTCGCTCCTGTCTGTCTCAAGCACCAGTCACGACTCAACGAGATCTATAACGAGATTTTCCTTCCCCTTTCCTCCTGCAGAAGTTCATGGAGGACAGCCTCGACCAGAAGGCGCAGCAGGCGAGGACCAAAATACAGATTCCCAACGTCGATTACGTGCATTTCGTCGACTACGATATCAAGATGGGCTTTCGCGCCTGCGTTCTTGGCGCGTTTGGACTTCCTGGTATGAGTTCGAGGAAGGGAAAAAGGGAATTGTTTACTGGCAAAAATATATTGATGTACTACGTTACTTGGCTAGGTATTTAAATGGGAATAAATGTAAGCAGGCAACTCTCTGCTTGTATTACGTTACTTGGCTAGGTACTTAAATGGGAATAATTGCAAGCTGGCAACTCTCTGGCTGTAGGTATAAGATAATTGGTTAAATGGAAACTCCCAAAAATCTGAATGTTTTCTGCACAAATATAGAGATACTTGTGTCTTTTTTTCAGTTGGGTCATCGAACAGTTACAGATATGTTCTAGGAAGTAAATATGAGAATGAATTTGGGAATGAGGTTTTCGTATATAGAACATGAAAGATCAAATTCCTAAACCAATGCTTAGCACGGGTCAATTAACAATATACAGTGGATCTCTGTCTTCAAGGAATACTGTATAGCAACTAGATGAAGAAAGATTCCCGAAGATATTTATTCTTAGTTCGAATAAAAGACATGGAGTAACTAATTTCGGGAGGTCGCAGATGGAAAAGAATTAGGAACGCCTGTCCTGATCACCAGCGGATTTAATTGATATTATTCAAAAGCTGTGATGTATGTTCAATAGAATCACACCAGGTGCAGTTTCTTATTGGTCTGAAAATTCGCTAATTCGCATTTCCTGTATGTGGTTCATTATTATTATTATTATTATTATTTTTACTCTTGTACAATATATTAAAAGGAGAACGGATTTTACTTCACACGCACATAGACAACCGAAATTTTTATTTGTTTGTTTGCTTTTCTTCTTGGACTGTAAACTCGAGCTACACGTACTTTGTCCATCATAATTTTCTTCACGCTTTTACATGTTAAGAGAAGAACGAATTTCATTCCACAGTGTACATGGACAACCGATACTGCCACGTCTACTGCCAAGTCCTGCCCGGAGAGGAGGCGAAGGACCTCCCATCAACTCCTGAAGGCCATGGGCAAGACAACAGATTTATCACGAAGAGAGTCGACTTCCTTTCAGCCCAGCGGTCTCCTCAGTGGCTGGATGAACCTGTGGTAGATAATTTTTGCATGACATATAATAAGTATACGTGATTATATTGTAGGATCAAGAGGGCCCTTTTTTTTCTTTTTATCCTAGTTTCCCCTGTAGGGCAGCCCCCATTTTCTTTTTCATATATGACGAAGGATTACGCTCTTTATTTCTACTGTTTTAGTCTATTACGATACGTTTCGTTGTTATTAACTAATTAGTAACATCGCCTACATCATATCCTATTATCATTTTATTTATTATTATTTTCGTACTTCTTTTGTTGTTCCAATAATGTAAGCTGTCAGAATCAGCTGTTTGGGCCGGAAAAGTTCAGTGGCTGGTGACCTGGCAGAGAGGAAGGATGTGTGCAGAGAAAATATTAAACTGTGCAACACACTTGAGTATCATGAGTATTTATAATTGCGTTTTTCAGGCCCATGTGGATCTTGCAAGCTAGTGCAGTATGTATTACAGTCCCCTGCCCTCTGCCTTCGCTTTGATATTTTTTTGCGTTCATTTCTGTATGTACAGTTCGTCTATCTGTTTTGAATTTTCAGTTTGGTTTCCATTTTAGTTCGTATTTGTATTGTCTTTTAGTGATTTACTTTTGCCTTGATTCAAAGCAGATTTCCTCCGAGGTTTGTAGTTATTAAGGTTGATAATTTGTATTAACCCTTTTTCATTTTCTTTTTTTTCATGTTAGTTTATCTTAATCTCACACAGTTAATAGTTGAGGTGTTACATCTGCATCTGTCATTCTCTCTCTCTCTCTCTCTCTCTCTCTCTCTCTCTCTCTCTCTCTCTCTCTCTCTCTCTCTCTCTCTCTCTCTCTCTCTCCCTCCCTCCCTCCCTCCCTCCCTCCCTCTCTCTCTCCCTCCCTCTCCCCTCCCTCTCCCTCTCCCCCTCCCTCCCTCTCCCTCTCCCCCTCCCTCCCTCTCCCTCCCTCCCTCTCCCTCCCTCCCTCCCTCCCTCCCTCCCTCTCTCTCTCTCCCTCTCTCTCTCTCTCCCTCCCTCCCTCCCTCCCTCCCTCCCTCCCTCCCTCCCTCCCCCCCTCCCCCCCCCCCCCCCCCCCTCTCTCTCTCTCTCTCTCTCTCTCTCTCTCTCTCTCTCTCTCTCTCTCTCTCTCTCTCTCTCTCTCTCTCTCTCTCTCTCTCTCTCTCTCTCTCTCTCTTCTTTTACCAGTCTTCCCCTTCCCTTCCATCTCTTAAACCAAATATCTCCTTTCAATCTAAACATTATTTTAGCAACACATGAATAACTAAAATCCCTCTCTCCCTTTTCTCCAACACCAGACATTAAACCCACACTTCGACGAGCGTTCTGTCCTCCTGGTTCAGCTGTTTGGGATCTCGCCTCATTACCGTCCTGGCGATGGGAAAAAACCCGGCAAGTTGACTGACTCTAAGGGCGAAACTCCTCACTTGAATTATGACCACCCGATGGCCTGGGGTGTCACGCAGCTGTTTGAGAAGTAAGGATTAGAAAAAGTATGAGTTTGTCGAATGTCTAAGTGTGGTGACGTCCAGAGCGGTGATTTTCATATCGGAAGATTGACTTGGCTGTGGATTATGGAGGAAATGTAGTTTGAATATCTGTCAGATGGAAGAACTCTTTTTGTTTTTCTCTTTTTTTTTCTCTCTCTATAGGAATTCCGTTATTAGTGGTGTTCATTGGATGACAATGTTTAAGGGTGTTCCCCATCCTGACGTGCTGGCAAGGCTATCAAAGGACGCCCCTGCCCATAAGGTGCTGCACCAAGCACTCGAGGAGGAGTATCTCAAGCTCCATGTGAGTAATTCGCTGCAATATTTTTTTTTTTATTTTCATCCCAACTCGTTCTGTTACATTAACCGTATTCGTAAATTACAATAGGCAAAAGTTATCCAGAATTTATCTTAAAGGAAGGCAAATCATGTTCCTTTTTATCTTTAATATAGTACTTATATATGATATCCAGCACATATATTTTGCATTGTAACCCTTAACCATCTCCCCTTGACTCAGGATGGCATGTCATTGGAAGTCAAGATCTGGGATGGTCGCCTGGCTGCCACCGACCTGCGAGACGGACGCAACGAGATTCAAATCAGCACACTCGGTAACAAGGAGAAATATGTCAAGGTTCACCAGCAAGTACACCAAAGGAGCATTGACGAAGTAAGCTGTTTCATTCCCGTTTTCGAAAAAAAAAATATTTTCTTATATCAGATTCATTTTTGAGTGTTGGGGATTTTTTTTTTTTATACTAAATGCTATTTCCCAAACTGTATTATTTAAGCACTTCTTCTTCTACACAGTTTGTACTCAAGAACATGGATCAGGCACATAAGCGAAATGGGCCCACTGGTGAGAGGTTCGAGAAGGAGAGGATCCTTTTCGAACAGGCGGCCAACGAGGCTTTCTTCAAGGCCATGGTGAGTGTTAGTCAAGTTATGTGTAAAAGAGAAAGGGATTTTTTAAAATACAGGAAGTCTTTTTTACTTGAAAGTGTAACGTTAATTTTACCGACTGAAAGTAAGATGTTTATTCCCGTCACTATTTTTTTCTTTCTTTCTCTTTAACACAGGATGAAGCATTGGAGAAGGCTGGCCAGCAGCGTTTACCATCAACATAACTAGGCCTACTGTGCGGCAGAGCTCAACTGAACAATCAAAACACTTAAAATTATACATTTCTTTAAGTGAAGGAAATCCACAGCATTTAAGTTTAATATATATAAGACATTACTCTTCACAAGTATTGTATGCAAAATATCACCTGTGTGCAGGATACTATACTATTTTTCTAGAGAGGATTGATATGATACAATTCATTGCATTCACATTCAGATTCACCCCACAAACCAAACAATGTGCCATAGTTCATAAATCTGGTAATATTCTCACTGGAGAGTTATATTTTTGTCTAATTCAACAGTAAACAGTATTTCCCACGAGCAGTGATTCATGTCTCTTGATATGTCGATGTGAAAGAGAGGCTGATAATGTCGTCGGCGAAATATTCACATTGTTCTAGGCGACTTCAGTGCGGTTCCGGCCGTGATCGAGCTGGTTACGAGATGGCTGTCGGTGCTCGTGACTCGAGAGCAGATACCGGCAGCGACAAGAGCCTCCTTTTCATGGACTCTGCAAGGTCCCAAATATTGAGGATTTCTAGCTCTTGGTTCCAGTGCTCTGACCCGCAGACCCGCAGCGCTCTGCACATGGTACAGCGATGCGGGTAATGTGGCCAAGGAGATCAAGCTTATTCTCGTCAGCACTCGCTGGAGGATCCACCAGAACTGTAGGGTATACCAAAGTGCTGAGTTCTATAGTACTGACCATGTATTGGTTTGGCTACCCTCTGAGTCCAGTTCACCCTCCCTCCCCCTCAGCGTCGGACCAGTAAATCACAGGTTGAGGGCGGGGAGTTTGCTGAGGTTATCTCGGGTCGTTTCGCAAGACTCGAGAATCCGTCGAACCATGTACTGCTACGGGATGCTTTCAAGCGCGAAAAACTTTACGCAGCTCAGGAATCCATAGGGAACCACCCAAGAACAAGACAGAACTTCATCTCTAAGGAGACATTGCTCGACTGACAGGGGACCGGGACATGTATCGTTCCCTGGTGTGCAGGACCCGGGCACTGGTTATCAGGAATCTTGCGAAGGAGGTCGAAGGCCATTTCTTAGTAAATGACTTTCGTCCTGCTTACCACACCCTGAGCTGAACTCCAAGCCCTCCTCACAGACGACTGCAATCTGCTCAGTAGATGGCCGGATCATCTCTTACCTTGATGGGAAACGGGAACGTTACACTGGGTACTTTGGTCAGTTGATTTAAGTTGACCCACCAACAATTAGCCTAAATGTAAATGATGTCACTTTCACTATGTGAGTGTGTCCTCGTAAATACATGCGTGTATGCATGTGTTCGAGTGAGGAAGTATTTTTTCCATTCAAAGTAAGAATATCTTCTGCATTTTTTCTCAATACTATTAGGTACATATTTCTGTGATGAAAACATTATATATGTATATATGGCAATCCTTGCAGAAGTGATGTACTGTAAGTAATGGACACAAGGTGCTCAAGAAAGAACAGTTACCGAAATTGCTTATATATGCCTGGAGTCAATGAATAGATGTGATGCAGGACAAGTGATGATACCCATAAAAAAAAAGAAAACAGACTGGTTTTAAGTGGTCATTGTTGTTCTGCAAGTGTGTTTGTTTTGAATCAATGTTAGGCAAGAGAATAAGATAAGACTACTACCTGCACACCAACAGGTTTAGCAGGATGGTGCATTGCAAGAGAGGTCCATTCTGCCCACAGATTCAAAGAGAGGGATATACATATAAGCCAGCAGCATATTGGTTTCTCACTTCTTTCAGAATACCTTTGCCTCACTTATGTTGGTATTGTTTCTGCCCCTTTTCTAGGCATATTAAGAATGATGTTAATGCTACCACCTCTTAGTTCTAGTTGGCTGATGCCTTACAAATGAGACCTCTAAATTTCCTCATTACTTCCCTCATTTCAGTGGGGAGAACCATATACATTGAGTTTGTATGGTGAAAGAATTGTATCAGTGTCAAATGCACCTCCACAGTATTACTGGAATATTACCTCAGTTTACTAGTGTACTTTGAAACCTGAATCATAAGGTTTCTGAAATTTACAAATAGACGTTTCAAAGCAGTGGTTTCCAAAATTTCTACACTAATGACCCCTTTCTCAAACCACTAAAACACTCAACCGCATGCTATCAACTGTTTCCTAATAAATCTAATACTCCAACAATCGAACATTATTTCGTCTTCTACGTCCGTATGTTGCTGGCATATCAGCGAAAGGAAAACTTTATTATTCCTGCTGTTGCTCAAATTCTTCTTCCAAGGTTTCGTGAACTCAGACCAACCCCCATGATTCCTGGTGAATTTTAGGGGGCCATAGTACAGTAATATGGGGTTTTGCCATTATATAGGAGTATATTTAAGTATATTAATATTTGGGAGTGATCCAATATATGCATACTGTTTGTTTTAAATAAAGTAGTAATTACAGTAAAACTGTTATTCATTCTTCCATGCCACCCCCCAATTGCTTGTTGTGGAGAGCTTATGAGATGGAGAGCTGAGGCTCGGTGTTGGGAATCACCCCTGCCTTGTACCTCAGCCTACGCCTCAACTAATTTTGCTTGGTCTTTTCTTCTCCTCCTTTCGTTTTCCTCCTGCCGGACTTTTGCAAGAGCCCAAATCTTAGAATAAGGCAGAATAAATTTTCAGGAAACGTTAACAACATTTATTCACCACGTTCTGTTAAATAAACAGTCAAAGGAAAATGATATGCAAGAAATTTATCAATAATTTAATGTAAAAAAAATATGTATATCAATTAGCAACACTGATAATCTAAACCTTACGATTGTGAAATATAAAACAAGCAGATGGGGAATGTTCTTCTGACTTGGTATTTTCAATTTAAATATAAGAATCTCAAATAACATAATTCATAACAAACACACAAGAGAGAGAAGAGATTTATAAATACTCTAAACATATATAAACAATATATTCTATCATAAAAAAAATGTAAAATTCAAAATACTCATAACATTTCTCCTTCCCATGGGAAAGTTTAAGCTTCATATCAACCTAATGATAATATCCTAATAAAATATACAATGAAGCTATTTCATATCATTTTTTTAAAGATTGATTCCAAGACCTTTAATAATAGATATATTAATCATATTCTGGGCACTTGTGATTCTTCTTTTTTCTTTTTTACAAAATATATGAGAATACCAGTAGAGATAGCAAACCAATGGAGCTTTACTTGCTGAAGAAAAACAATGATTCTTTAACTCTTGAAGAGATTCAGACAAAGTCAGATTATTTCAGAGTTTCTGTGATACATACCTACATTTTGAATTGGTTTCTCATCACCTCTTCTACTTTTTATCAATATATCTTGCAAGACCCCAGTCCCATATAACACTCCCATGCCTCCCTCCCTCCCACCCATGAAATTAGCTTAGAGCGACTTCATTTGTGCCATGAGGTCATCCAGGGACGTGTCTTCCGTTTGGACTACGCTGGCCCCGTCCTCGGTGCTTGTTGGGGCTGGCCTCTCGTAGGCTACCGTTATACCCTTGGCAAGACCCGATACTTGGGGCTCGGAGCTGGTCTCTTCGGGGGTTGTCTCATCAACGAGAGAAATACCTACAAGAGAGACGAGTGTTATCAGTACCATTCTATCTATCTTTTTATGAAATCAAACTAAAGAAAGATAGGAGCATGCTACTATCGGGTGAGACTGATGACAAAAGTACTATTCCATACCCATACAATGTTAAGAAATTATTTTTTTGTTTCTTAGCAAATCAAATCAGTTCAAATATCTATTTGTTGAAAAGGAATACAGTCAACAATTTTTAGTATGCCCCTCCCCCCTCCATTTTTAACAAAAGTAAATACTACTACCCAATTTACGATTATATTTCCTATATATGGAATACCTCCCAAAATTACAAACATCTAACTTCCAAGTTAAAATGAAACAAAAGAAAGATTGGATGGGAAAAGAACAACAATCCAGAAAAAGAAATATGAAAAAAACAGAAAACTAACACAAAGAAAAAAGAAAGGAAAAGAAGAACATGGACAAGAACAAGGACAAGAAAAAAAAAAAATTCACTAACCCCATTCATTATCCTCATGGACGACTGCTTTCTCCTCCTCCACCACCTTTTCCACCTTAGGTTCAGCTGCCTTCTTTGCGTTGTATTCTGCCTGTCTCTTCCGGCACCAAGAGTCTTCGCACTGAGGGTTGGGTTTCACTGTCATTGTGGGAAAGAAGTCCACCAAGGCATTGTAACCTAAGTAGTAGGACACCTGACCAAAGTTCAACAAATACCTGGTGGCAGAAGAAGAGAGTTCATTTTCATCTGTGGCAAATAAAATCATCACACTAATAAATGAAAGAGTACAGGACTGTAAAAAGACTGATACAATGTTCACTTTGATATATGTTGTCAATTTTCTTCAAACTTCAACTCACTTTACTCTTACAAGTCAAATGACTGACTTCTACAAAAGTAATATTTACCATTAGACCTAAACCATTGCCTGCTAAGCATCTCGGTTACAAGTGGCTTAATTTACAAAAAGGATGAAAAAATAGTCTTCAACCTAACTGAAAAGGTTGTATATCTGCATTATGCACAGGTGCAACAACTTAAATACCTAAGAACTCAATAACCTTTGCAATTTATTTTATTATTATATATAAAAAGAATTGCCTTTATCTATAGATCCAACATGGTAATATAGAAATAACTTTCAAAATAAAACTGTGTTGCTTTGAAAGTAATACAACAGACATATTGTACATCACATTCTAATAATATTATATATATATATATATATATATATATATATATATATAGATATATATATATATATATATATATATATATATATATATATATAGATATATATATATATATATATATATATATATATATATATATATATATATATATATATATATATATATATATATATATATATATATATATATATATATATATATATATATATATATATATATATATATATATAGATATATATATATATATATATATATATATATATATATATATATATATAGATATATATATATATATATATATATATATATATATATATATATATATATATATATATATATATATATATATATATATATATATATATATATATATATATATATATATATATATATATATATATATATATATATATATATATATATATATATATATATATATATATATATATATATATATATATATATATATATATATATATATATATAGATATATATATATATATATATATATATATATATATATATATATATATATATATATATATATATATATATATATATATATATATATATATATATATAGATATATATATATATATATATATATATATATATATATATATATATATATATATATATATATATATATATATATATATATATATATATATATATATATATATATATATATATATATATATATATATATATATATATATATATATATATATATATATATATATATATATATATATATATATATATATATATATATATATATATATATATATATATATATATATATATATATATATATATATATATATATATATATATATATATATATATATATATATATATATATATATATATATATATATATATATATATATATATATATATATATATATATATATATATATATATATATATATATATAGATATATATATATATATATATATATATATATATATATATATATATATATATATATATATATATATATATATATATAGATATATATATATATATATATATAGATATATATATATATATATATATATATATATAGATATATATATATATAGATATATATATATATATATATATATATATATATATATATATATATATATATATATATATATATATATATATATATATATATATATATATATAGATATATATATATATATAGATATATATATATATATATATATATATATATATATATATATATATATATATATATATATATATATATATATATATATATATATATATATATATATATATATATATATATATATATATATATATATATATATATATAGATATATATATATATATATATATATATATATATATATAGATATATATATATATATATATATATATATATATATATATATATATATATATATATATATATAGATATATATATATATATATATATATATATATATATATATATATATATATATATATATATATATATATATATATATATATATATATATATATATATATATATATATATATATATATATATATATATATATATATATATATATATATATATATATATATATATATATATATATATATATATATATATATATATATATATATATATATATATATATATATATATATATATATATATATATATATATATATATATATATATATATATATATATATATATATATATATATATATATAGATATATATATATATATAGATATATATATATATATATATATATATATATATATATATATATATATATATATAGATATATATATATATATATATATATATATATATATATATATATATATATATATATATATATATATATATATATATATATATATATATATATATATATATATATATATATATATTTTTTACAGTGCATAATTATGATGATTTCAATTTCCATCAAAATAAATGTAAATAATATTATTCAAGCAACAGAGAGGAAATATAATTACTCCCTTTCCTACTTTTCCTTTTACATCTAACATATAAATATATGATATATACAATACCATTATAACATGTACAACATACAGCATAAAAGAAAGTACCAGCATATGTTACTTTAATCTTTGTTTTGGAATTAGCTAAACAATTACACCAAAATAAAGTCCATCTACTTACCTTGCCAATACCACATCTAGTGAGCATTTCCGCAGTTACGCTGCCAACACCACCAACTCCTACGACGGCAACAGTATGAGTTCTGATCTTTTCGTAGTCTTCCACAATTCCCATTCTCTTTAGGGCCATCAATCGGCTGAAAAGAGAAAATTATTTTCCCTCACTTAATATACTGAATTACTTTAATATACTCAAAACCTTATTAATAATAATAATAAAGATAGATAATAAACTGATACACTGACACACATGGGGGGGACAGACAGACAGACATATGCAGACATGCTTTCATTCATACACTTAAGCATAAGCATTAAAAACATTATCTGTCTTCAGGCTAAATCAAATTTAATAATAAATCTTTTAGAATCAACAAATAAAGAAAAAATTAAGGGACCAATTAAACATAAATACTATATAACTACTAACAAAAATTAATATATTTTTTAAATCCTTTTCATTTGATGTCTAAGAAAACTAAACTATATCTCTATAAATATTTTTAAAATTTCTTACATTTACTAACACACAAACCTCTCAACACGAGCCATTTATTTTAAATTCACATATAATTAATCTTATCCATAAGCTAGAGAACTAGCTGCTGAATTGAAAAACTGAATGCAAGAACCATATGTTTTCTCTACTGTCTGCAATTTTTGCTCAACCATATGCATATGACGTTTTCAATAGAACAAAAAATAAAGAGAATATAAGCCTCCTCTGGGAAGCTGTATCTCTTCATTTATTGCAGACAGGGTGAAGCAAGGTAAAGACCTGTCGATAAGATATGAATGAGAACGGATATCTTCACAGTGAAGATATCCATACTCATTCATACCTTTTCTACAATCGTGGCATTGAACATGGTTCATTTAAACTAAGGATTGCTTATTACACCTAGCATAGATCTAGAGCAGACAGGACTGTCATGCCATGGATCCTTGCCACCCAGCATAGGGGCACAGTGTTTCATGGCAAGAATAGATGCCACCCTGGCTCTCTGAACTAAAGTTTAATTTGTAAATTTGTGAGTAGCAGAATTCTCAATTATATTCCTACAAGCTTAGTGACCAGGGAGGGGAGAGGGGGTGAGGGGGTGATAATAAAGACTTCCACTGGAAACAAACCTTGGATATGAGAAGACTTTGATATTTGTTTTAAAAATTAATACTACCATTAAATCTATATTGACCAAATATATGTAAAATATAAAGGTACCAAAGAACAAAGTTTAAAACTAAAATTCTTTAGTAAAATCAAACAGGGAAAAAATGACAAAAATGGGGAAGTATGTACAAGTCATCAATATTTTACAAGGAATCAAAAACATACATGATTATTAAATAAAAGGAGTAATAACTGAACTTCTGCATAAAATATTACGTACGTGACTACTATAGGCCTAATTCCTGCATTATAGATCTTAATGACGCAATCAAGGGAAAATAATTTACATATTTTTCCAAACCAATTCAACGCTCTGCTATACACAATAAGCTTCCCAAAATATATTTATCCTCCCATTAATCCATACAAAGCAAAAAACACCGAACAATATGGGGGAAAAAATCTGACAGGTAAAGAACACACGGAACATATTTCCTACCTATATGGGTTACTATCCACCACTTCGCCGGACATTTGGGCGATTTTCTCTCTTGCGCAGCCCTTGTCATCTCTCAGCTGCTTCAGTTCGGCCTCCAACTGCTGTATTTTACCCTTAAGTTCTTCCACAGACATGGTGTACAGCTGTCCTGACGTGACCGAGGAACCGCCTTACCTTCGCCGCGCTGTTTCCTTCTCGATTACTCTCGCCGGGATGACAACACGCATTTTGTATACATACTCTGACTTTTTAAATTGTGGCTGGAAATACGAGTAAATGTATGGATTTTCAGCAGATAATTTATATGTTTTTTGTTGAACTCTTTTTTTGATGATTGATGAGAAAGAGGGTTATTTTAATTATACTATTTTCTTGTTGAAAACGGACTTAAAGGTATACTTCAAATATTTTGTGAATTGAAATTAACTGGTTTATGCTAGAATATTAAGATTCATTATCATAATCTAAAAAAATAGAAGTCTATAACAATGCACTTGCCATATTTATAATACAAATGTTAGTCTTATTCATGCTTTAAATGAGTCATTATGACTTTAAGTTGACATTTCCACATTTTGGATTTAAGATCAATGTTTTGTAATGCCTATTTCAATATTGCTTACTAGCAAATCTTAGTTTCGATACCCTGATAAGTTAATATCATTAGTCACTTTTCCCCTACAAAAAGTAACCAACCAATGATAAGATTCCTTTTTTCTCGTTTCTGATTGGCTGAAGATAAAAGACCAGGATGACAGTTCAAGACTTTTGCTCAGAGTACCAACCAATCAGAATACAGCTTTAAGAAATACTTCCCTGCGATTGGTCGACCTCCGCCGCGAGTGTCAAGAAACCGAAAACAAACACGGCCTTATCTTCGAAAAATGTTCCTCCTCTGGCAGTGTACACCAAGCATTGCCCGGAAAAAGATGGTCACTGCATCCCCGTTGCGTTTTCGAGACCTCATTAGCCGGAAGTGATGGGAGATAATGTGTCGGAGACTTCGAGTAACTGGCCGAGAGATGAGCTCGTGTTTGTAGATGAGCTAAGGCGTCATGGCGAACCGCGAACCAAAG